CCATACAACGTAACATGTGTGTGGGGAGGGGGGAGGAGAGGTTTGCGGGACCTGGGACAAATAAGCCTGTATAGGCCCCCTAACATTTTTTATACAGGTGAAATCTGGTGTGGGGAAGGGACACCAGTGCTGGGTGACAAGGGACGACAGAGAGTCACAGGGTGGCACCTGTGCTAGAGGTGAGGGGCCCCCCTGTGCTGGGGGGTCCCAGAAAAGGGAGGGGCTCCAGGGTGGAAAGGCAATGGATGGGGTCAGCCTGGCGCTGGCATTAGGACGGTGGCAGCCGGTGCAACAGTGGCCAAGCAAGAAAAATAAATACAACGCGCACTTCCTGCTGGTGAGTGTGGGCCCGACCCCTGCTGCCGGCACCAGGACCCCCATTAACCCCCGAACCCCTAACTCCTTCCCCCCCGGGCTGGCCTGGCCCCCCACGCACCCCTAACCCCACCCCCCCTGGGCCGGCCTAGCGCCCCTCCCACACGCATACTGAAGCGTGGGGCCCGGAGCAGTCACCCCGATTTGCCAAACCCAAGGGATCGCTCTGACCATGTGTCAGTCTTGCAGCGTAGCAAGCCTGCAGCGTGTTGAGCGGGCTTTAACTGGGTTCTAGCATGGCTGTTGTACTGGTAGGAGGTCCTGTCTGCACTTTGTCCGGATAGCTAGGTTAGCCAGTCTGCCTGCCTCCTTTCTTGGCCCAATACTGCTCGACGCCAAGAACCTTCCACTTGCTCTCAAATCAACTGGGAGTTGAGGATGTTCAGCATCTTGCAAGAGACACTCAGCACCTCACAGCTCTCTGTACAGGAGGATACCCCAAAGTACATGACAGACACCCACAATCCTCGGTCACTAGCACGAACAGCTGAGCCAGTGTGGGACAGAGGTCCAGATTAAGCCAGAACGCCCCGATACTAATACAGTAAGGCGTCAAGGAGTGGATGAACAAGAGTGGCTGACTCAAGGGCATGGAGGAAAAAATGCTGCTGTACAGGTGACCAGAACCACTTGCACTGTAACCCGGGCAGGTGAGTGTAACAGAGTCTGAACACATCTGATCTATGTGTAGACTGGGAGAGAGAGCATATGTGGGAGAGAGAAAGAGACTGACTGATTGACTGGCTGATTAGGGGATCGTTCATGAGGATTCTAAAAACAAGTATTTAGACCAACCTGATCACTCCGGAGAAGCCAGGAGTTGCCAGTTTTGGCTGCGTTGAAAACCATTTCATTTTTAGAAACACTAATCCGAAGGGTGACTCGTTTATTATTGTGCACAGATGACATTGCCAACGCAATGCAATTACTGCGCTGACTAGCTTTGCATCCAAATTCCACTTACTATTCATTTACAAGTCACACATCTGGCACTGGTTGCAGATTAGGCATTAAACACACTGTGCTGTGATCTTTCAGGGGCAGGGATCCTGTCTTCTTACCTGTTTTTAAATTGCCCTCTGCAGTACTGATGCTCTAGAAACAACAACCAACCAACCTACCAGAGGGCCTTACCAGATCGACTTTTCCCGTCTTTAGCATGTAGATCAGCGCCGAGGGACAACAGCGTTTGGACGGTACTTGTATGTCCTTCCTGCATTTTTAAGCACAAACACATCGGTTGCACGATTGTTAAGCAGAACCAGCCCTTTAAATCTTTCATTTGTGAGCCTAATATAACCTATAGGACTGGGAATAGAAAAATTCCTCTGTAAAGCAATGTTTATAAGAGCTTGCTATATGGCCAATGAGCACCACCATAAGCAAACTGGCAAACCTGTGGAGAGCTATAGATACGGGTGCAGATTCTTGTGTTCAGTCAAGGAGCAGAGAAGTGAGGGCTGCGGCTCCCTGATCCTGGGGCCAACCAGGGTCTGCCTCAGCCCCTGGCATATCTTAGAGCAGCAGTAAGTTGTACTTGGCTGCCAATATCCCCAAGAGCAGCCAGAGACTGCCAAAGCACAGCTGTGTTCCTGCCACATCGCCTCTTCCCCAGGAACATCTCCCACACAGATACAGAGCTATTAGGACAGCTCTATGCCACTCAGCAATTCTACCTATGCAGGGGGAATCCTGGACTAGCACATAAGCTATATTCACTGTCCCTTTGTGCTGCCACAGCAGTGCCGGGAGACCATAGCAGGGCAATGGTGAATCCTGGAAGATCCTCCTGCAAAATACACCAGGATCCTGGAGCCTCTAAATGCCACCAGTCCTGTTATTCAATAGCGTTCAACTGGCATGCCAAGTGGAATTCAAAGGCTCCAGGACTGAAAGGCTGTGTCTGCTCTGAGGATTTTAAAGAATTTTCCCACTGTTGCTCTATCACCAGTACATGCTAGCAAAGGGCCATGCTAGCAAAGGCAGGAGAGCTCATGTAGAATGACCCCTAGTGACAAGGTCTAAAGAGGCTTCTTGTTAGCATGTTAGTGCATTTAAGGTATCAGCTGATCTTGCCTTTCCCCTCCAACCATCGCTATGACCGAATGACTAAGGCCATGTCTACACTACAGGGACTACAGTTAGGGTGACCAGACAGCAAGTGTGAAAAATCAGGACGGGGGTGGGGGATAATAGGAGCCTATATAAGAAAAAGCCCCAAATATCGGGACATTTGGTCACCCTAACTACAGCTGCACAGCCCCATAGCACAGACACAGCCGACAGGGACAGAAGGGGCTTTTCTGTCACCGTAGGAACACTACCCCCAGGAGCAATGGTACTAGATATACAGTAGCATCCTTCCATCAACCTAGCTGTGTTTACACTGTGGGTCAGGGCCGCATTGCTATGGTGCTCAGGTCTATGGATTTTTCATACCCCTTAGTGCCATAGCTATGTCAACCTAAATTGTAGACCAGGCCTGAATCAAATTGCTTTTATCCTCTGCGGGCCAATCAGCCCTAGAATCCTGATTTACTGTTAACAATACAAACACTGGCCGCTGATGCTTTGTTAAAAGGATTAGGCTTCATTAGGAACCTGTTTTCTCCCATACTGGAAACCTGGTCTGATTGCTACAGAAGTCTAGGATTGCCACTACTGGGTGTGTGCGTTTTAGCTCAGAGACCTATGTTTTATTAATAGCTTCCAACTGAGCTGGATTTGCTATCTACTGGCATTGGCCCGTAGGGCACTGGCATTTTCCAAAGGATTTCTATGATATTTGTAGAATCTTAGAAGAACAGAGATTGCCTCAGTGACATGGACTAATGATCCATCGAGTCCTGGATCTTCTCTCTGGCTGTAGCCAATTTTGGATGCTTCAGAGGAAAATTTAACCCTTGCATTTCCCCTAAATAATGCATCTGATTTGGCTGTTTCTTCCTCACCCCTTGCTAATTAGGCTTTGTTCTGTGGCATGGATGTGGATAGCCTGTATTTGTACCTCCCCTTTCCCATTGACTGTACAAGCTGCATATTCCCCTTGTTCACAGCACCCAGTGCATTACTGCAGGCACACACTGACAGCAATAAAAGTCGTGAGCTAGCAGATGGCTTAGCTACAACGGCCTTAGCAGCAAATTGAGTTGAAAGCATAATTTGATTTTAATGTATTTATAAATGAAAAAAAAAAACCCCCTAAAGGAAATTATGCTGCACAGTGCAAGTGACACCGATTCTCAGAGAGGAAGAAAAAACCATCAAACGTTTTTGCAGATCAGCCGGTGTAGCTGTTTGCCATGGCAGAGTGGGGATCTTTTCCAAAGCACATTTACATTCACCCCCCACAAACACACGCTATGAAATGCAGCCCTGGCAGCCAAGAGGGCTTTCAACATAATTTCTCAGTGAATAAGGCGGATAAGCTGGGAGAAAGACCTCCTATGTGGGAGCCACCCTGCCATGGAGGTGATGGGATGGGAGGGGATAGAGGAGAATAAGGTTACTCGTCTCCGTAAGGGCCATTGATGCATTTGTAAAAGAAGGATAAAGCATCCAGACTGTGCCCTCAAAGCTGCGTGCTGGAGTTCCTGAGCCTGTGAGCTCCTCCGGGCAGGGACCATCCCTCTTTGTGTGGCTAGAAAGCACTTAGCACATCCTGGGGGCTGCTGCAAACACACACAATAATAGAAGGGATGCAGCAGGGCTGTACTTCCTGAGCCCCCAGGAGGGATTCCAGATGACAGCCTCCCGGCTCCTGGGTAGAACACAATGGTGAAGCAACAATGCCACCGCTCTTAGTACAGTATGACCAAGCCAGCACTGCTGGTTGATGCAGGGAGGGTGGGCAAAGAGCCATAGCCCATCCACAACCTGGCCGTCCTTCCCCCTTTTCACCTCCTAGGGGCACAGAGGTGTAGTAGGAAGGAGAGGACACTCTAGTCCTTTATTGGAAATCAAGACAGCCCCTGTGCCAGGGGCACAAATGGGAGTGTGGGAAGCTCCTTGTCGCCTCTCAGACCTTGTACACCTGCCCAGGGTCTGGCCAGAATCTAACCCAACCTATCAGCATAAAGGGCTTCCCCTCTCACCACTGTGGCTGTTTCAGTAGGGTACCGTGCTACGGTCTGAAATTGATAATTGCACTAATAACTTGCTAGGGCATGGTCCCAAACTGCTAGGGAGGCAGGAAGAGGATAAGGAGGAAATTCAAGCCCTGGGTTACTTCCATCTCCACTCCAACTACTGGTGAGTTGGCAAATTAAGCGGCTGAATCAGTCCATGACCAAGGGGAACCTCAAGCAAACATACATGCCAAAGGTCAGCCCTGCTGACTCCTGGTCTTGAGAGGTGCTAGGTACCTACTGCTCCCATTGGCTCCCTTCAACTAGCAGACATCAGTACAGACCCCTGCAGACAACAGATTGGGGGGGCAACTCCTATGGTGTGTACAGGGCAACTCCTGTATATGGCAGAAGTCATGGGCAGAAGGTATTGAAGGCCGTGGCCCCGCCCATGCTCTGTCCTGAGGCCCCGCCCTCGCTCCCCCTCTTCCCTGAAGCCAGTGGGGATTCAGCTCCAGCTGGTGGCCTGGAGCTCGGGGTTCGGGCTGGCCGGCGGCCTGGGGCGGCTCGGGCCAGCCAGTGCAGCTGAGGTGGGTCGGCCGGGGCTCCTCCAGCTATGGGGGGGAAGGAAGGGAGGACGCTCGAGGCTCTGGCGGGAGGGTGGGGGGGGAGGGCACCTCGGGTGGAAGGAGTGGGCCCAGGGGGCTAGCTTCCCCAAAGGGGGGTTTCTCCCGCCGCCCATGGCAGAAGTTGTACCATTCTGCACGGTGCTAACTGAGCCAGTCTTCAGATGGCACTCAGGGCAAAGACCATGCTGACATACCCCGTCATCTCTCTTATGGCATGCCAGCTTACAGCCGCATTGCACAGGGAGCAATCGAAAGGAAACAAACCTTGGCTGCGTAATGTAGCGCCGTGAGTTGGATTGACGTTGCTCTCTCATTGACATGGACACCGAGATCAGAGACAAGGAAGCGGATGGCTTCGTCCTGGGCCGTGACTGCTGCCTGGTGCAACGGCTGAGCACCTACTGCATCTGCAGCTGTATAACAGGCCTAGCGGGTGGGAAATAAGGAACCAAATTGCCGTGAACGATTGCCAACTTGTGTACAAACGACATGTCCGGCCATTGCTATGACAACGACCATAATGAAAACACATGATATTTTAACCGGCCATCAAAAAAATTACTCACCCTAGTCCAGCAGGATTACGTAATGCTGGTATAAAACCTGTGTGTGTACAGTTGCATCAGCTCATTTACCAAGCTTTGGAAATGATTAGCAAAGGCTTTTGGGCCCAGTTCTCCTTTCCACTGGTGTAAATCAGGAGAAACTTTATTGACAGCAATAAAGCTACACCTTTATAAAACCAGTACAGGCCCATTGTCTTTCCAAATGCATGCAACACAGTAGTCTAGCTACACCAAGGTCATTTCGCAGTATGCTGATATTTTGATAAACATCTAGCAAATCAATGGAATCTGGTCCCAACACGTAAAGGGACACTGTCAAGTCAAATCTGGATTTGCAAATGTGTTTGTACAAGGAGCCCCAATTCTCATGAGGGCCTTTAGGCATGTGTGTTATACTTAATCATAATCATACTGTTCCATTATTTCTTTTCATTAAATTTCAGTTGAACCAGTTTAAGACAAACAAACATTCCACTTTTCGGAGCTGCCAGGTCTCACAATTTTATAGCAAGTCTTGTGCCTATATTTAGTATTTTCCTTAAAACCCCAGCTTCTGGAGTCATGTGAACAGCTTTCATTTAAAACACAAGTATGTTTTTTGCTTTGATGGTAAGCATAGAAAATTTTGAAGACCAGAAGGCAAGTAAAAAGAATGCAAAATGCATTAATGCTGTCACGGACCAGGAGGTGCGTGGTTAGGCCCAATGGCTCGAGCAGCAGCAGTCAGGCCTAGTGGTGGGAGCAGTGGCCGTCAAGAACTAGAAGTCAGAGTCAAGGATAGAGCAGGGCTGGCACAGGTGCGATCACAGCTTTCAGGCATGTGCACTGAGCAGCCATTGGCCTAATGCTGCTGCCGGGCTTAAGAGCACATCTGTTGGTTCCTCCAGCCAATTGGGCTGTCTGGCTAATCAAGTGATTCTGCTGCAAGCCACCTGTGCTTCAGCTGCGAGGCCTCTGTTGCTCACTAGGGAGGGAGAGCCAGCTGGTCCCAGGCTCAGCGGCAAACCCTAATTCCTGACAACTTTTTAAAAAAAATCTGATGGTTCTTAAGCCCATTTCCTGATTTGGAGGGCCTAACGCTTGATTTTTGAAAACTGGAAGTTGGCAGAACTGCCTGTTTAGCACTTGCCATCCAAACGTTGCAGCACCAAGCTTGCGCACGAGGACCAGAAATGAAACTGTCTAGAAAACGAACAGGCTCTTCCCATTGTCCATGCGGTGAGAAATGCAAATGTAAACCAACCTCACACACTGTGAGAAATAAATTCGATTTTAAAATATTCTTTGAGGGTTTCATAGTCGATGTTGACAACAGTACATAAATAATGAAATGTTTCTTATTTTGAATATACAACTGGATCTAACAACAGCCCTATGATCCTTTTCAAACAGGGGTGGGCAAATTTTTTGGCCCGAGGGCCACATTGGGGTTGCAAAACTGTATGGAGGGCCGGGTAGGGAAGGTTCCCCAAACAGCCTGGCCCCCGCCCGCTATCCGACCCCTCCCACTTCCCGCCCCCTGACTGCCCCCCTCAGAACCCCTGACCTATCCAAACCCCCCTGCTCCTT